GGCTTTTTTTCCAGCCCGGCGGGAGTTTGAGGGACATCCGGACATCTAATGTTGGATTTTCGGGATCACATCAGACTATCAGGGGTCCTGGGACAGCTAGCGAGCGCGAGCCGACGCTTACCGATGGTTGGATGTCACCGGAGCGTGAGTTTCTCCGAACGATGCATTAGATCACGACTCCGAGTCATTCTTTGGTTCTCTGGCGACTGTATAATTATGAGTATGTCATGTGACGCAGGCGTGGTTTCTTCACGAGTTTGACGTTCCTGGGTACGGTCTTGTGCAGCAGGACTACAATCGCTTTATATCTGGGCTTCTTATCCCCCAGTCTCTCTTCCAGCGGAGCATCTCACACGCTGATCGCCGCGTCCGCGTCGCATAACTGCCTGCCATGAGGTAGAACTTGAAACGGTTCACCTAGGCCCTCGTTTTTCCCCTGCGGCCTGCTCACACCCAACTCCTTCCGTCTGTCTCGCATGCTTTGAAAGCATATGTAGTGAGACCCTGAGCCCGGTGTGTGCCGCGTGTCTCTTGCTCCTGACCTTCTGCCTGTCATCGCTAGTGCGTTTCAAGTCGCCTCAGTGCGTGCTTCTGACATGTCCTACGCATACTCTTCGACGATCACAGTTGTCAGGTTCCTCGTGAAATGGGCCCGATTCCTGTCGAGCGACCGCCAGACGAGGTCATGGCCTCGATCTTCAAAGAAGCAGCGGACTATCCACTTGCATTCAATGAACTGCACAGTGCCCTCGCGATATCCAGGGTGAACAGCCGGTGGCGCACCATCGCACTTTCAAATCCGGCGCTATGGACAACCATCCGCGTATCGGAGCGCCGGTCCCTTAATACCGCCGCAGTCTTTCTCCGCCGATCGACGCCACTTCTATTCCGCCTTAGCGTGAGCACACAATGCCGGCAACAGCCCTCGAATGCTTCCCGCATACTCGAGGTCATCTCCCCCCACCTAGACCGGTGTGCTTCTCTTGCATTGTGCTTGACCGACGACGAGCTCAGTGGGTGGGTTGCTCGCCTCCTGAACCAAAGCCCGCACTCGCTCCAGCGCCTCCACCGACTCAATCTTGACGTTCACTCTTACGCGCCCGACGAACTCTGGGGCCCGCCCGACTCAATTGCGCACTTCACGGCGCTGTGCCGAAATATCTGCTCCCTGCGCATCGCAGGTGGCCCGCCGCTCCGTCTGCGCCTCCACGATCACCTGACCTGGAGTCATCTAACGACGCTCAACGTCCGCTGCACATGGGACGGCGCTTTCGTCCGCGTCGTCTGTGCGCACGCGCATGCGCTTCGTGCGCTGGTGCTCCGTGATTACGCCGCAGACGTGTTCACCGAAACATCGGCGTCGTGTCTGCCCACGCTTACTGAGCTTGTACTGGAGTTTCGCGACAGGGCGCTCGCTGAAGGTCTCCTTACCCTGGGATACGCACTAGACCTCCCACGTCTTACGCAGCTGGATATAAAGGGACCACGAGGTGGAGGCACCCCGTGTCTGCGCTCAACGCAGGGGTACGCGTACAATGGATCCGAGTCATGCCACTGTGACTTCGATGCGGACGTTGGGTTCCTGAATCGCCCGTTCTCGTTCCCGCGCCTGCGCATTCTCTCTCTCGCGGACGTCGTACTCACCCGCCCGCTCGACGGGCACGTCCTGCATTCCCTTTGCGCGCACATCTCGGAGCTGTGTCTCACTAACGTGCAGTTCCCCGCGTGCTCCGAGGCTGAAGCCGCCGTTGCAGCTATTCTCACGCCGTACGCGTATTTGCGCGTCATCGAGATCACGCACAGCGCGAGCAGCAGCTCAAACATCTCGCTGCCTCCGACTATGCAAGACAGAGTTTCCATACGGGGCAGGGACGCGTCCACGGCTGAGCGCGCACCCGGCGAGGTAGGGTTCTACATAAGGAGGAACAGCCGTACCACCGACTTTGAGGACGAAGACAAGGAGGGTATAGGTGATCATTTGTGCTCAGACTTTTGCGAGTTGCATGATGAGAGCCCGTGGGCGGATACACGGACCGAAGTCGATCGACTTGTCGACTGGCATCTGCTGCAGGCGATAAACAGGGGTGATGCTGGCTGTAGGCAAACGGGCACCGGCGGAAACGGAGACTGGAAGTGTCGCGTAACCTCCGAAGGGTGGTAATCCCAAAATGATAATTTTGCTCTCTGATTTTGCAGCGAATGAGGTTCCTCATTGAAACCTGAATGTGTTCAAATTAACCCCTATCGTTTGAGCGCCGATCTTTGAAAAATATTATTCGTAACTCCCACGGTTGGAGCAATTATTGCATTTAATTGCTTTCTTATAGGTCTCCTGTCGTCGACTCACAAAAACTCAGGACTCAAACCTCCGGGGCATTCTTCTCCAGAAACGCTCAAAATTTACTCCCATCTAATCCAGCAGCCTGAGCCACTCCGGCGGACCCAACTTGCGTATATTCTCACAACTTGAGTGCGCAGGGTTATGGTTACTCTCCCACAAAAAAATGCAGCTGGACATGCCCTGATCTCCTGCACATCCTCAGATGAGGTAGTGTAATTCCTGGAAAGACTTTTCGCTGATCTACCTGACCTACAACGCCGGATGGCAGAACTCTCTAATATTGAGTTCCTCGAAGCAATTATTTATCCAAGATCATCTATTGCACTGGTTGCTAAATTCATGTATGAAGTCCTAGAGGTGTTCTATGCCGTCCCTGTGTATCGATTTAATGCTTGAGGCTTCCCCGGATTGATGTGCTAATTTCCGCTCTCTTGTGTCTGATTTGGTTCTACCACGGCGAGTCGGCGACCCACCAGTTCGACCGTGAGCTCGGCTATGAAGACCCTCAAGGGCCCAGGGACGATGATGTAGTATTTAGTGTCAGGACAATTCCTGGAAACCGGCGTTCCTGAGTGGGAGTCCGGGGGGACCGTGCCGTGTAATACTACTACTACTCTGAAATTGTAGATATTTTATCCCCTACCCTTTCTAGGCCAAAGACTGCTATTAAGTTGCTTATTGAATATTAAATCCAGCTCCCGATATTCATACCTGCCCTTTCATATCATATGAAAAAAAAAAAAAAATTACATTCATTTTTGCGGCCGGCAACGGCCTGGCGGGAGCCGCGACTACATTGATGCGGCAGTTGATGAGATTGCTTGTGCGCTGATGCGTGACATTCCCTATCTTTGATTTGATGGGAGAGACGACGGGCCGCCCGCCCTCTATTATCACTATTATTTTGATGAGCACTGCACATTAGCTCAAATACCTCTATAGGCAGAACTACCACATCCCTTCCAGAATTGACCGAGGAATGTAGGGGCGTCGGTTATGCTCGGAGTCTGAGATAAGAAAATGTCGATTCCCAAATGAGACAATCGGGGCACAGCTTTTGATTAAGGTATCACACCGGTGCCAACTTGAAATTTGGCGTACATCGTACATCCCGTTCCTTCCTGCAACAAACTCGACTCTTCAAACATTTGTTGGGGCTTAAATATCGAAGGGGCTCGAAACCCCGACTGGCTCAGAAGGCAGTCGGCGATAGTACCGATGGCAAGTCAGATGCCTGCATTTGTTTTGGCGTAGTTGCCCTCAGCACCGGCACCGGCGGCGGTAGCACTTGGTCGAAATGAAAATGATGGTAGGTTGGCCGTTCGACACAAATTGAACTGAAGCGATGCCGTGTCATGCCATCCTCTTCGATGCTGCCTGAGTATCGTTGAAGAGATGTACACGTCGCCGTGCACAGCCTGGCGTCAGCAAACGGGCGCTTGAAGTTGTACTGCCTGAAAAAACTCCTCCAAGTCGAGTATGGGGTGTTCCTACATGGACTTCAGCTTAGAGTTGTACCTTGGGGAATCGTAGCATCGGAGATACATATCAAAACCGACTGTGGGAAGAAACTGGGCGCCCATTTCTCACCTGCTCGCCCAGAGACAGACATACGACAATGTCCATTTGTTCGACTATTGGCCGAATTCGTGGGCTTGAGCTCAGGCCTGGGCCAATGGTTGTCTCTAGTTGCACTCTTATTGAAGCGCATCTTCCCAGTTGAACGTTGGAGGCAAAGAGAGACAAAGCCACTGGCACTCAATCAGAACGTCTGTTTGCACGTCCGTATCCCATCAGCCATGGTCGCTAATCTCTTACGCGAATTCTATTGGGCACGATCGCGTGCTCTCAACACGTGCACAAGGTCGGGCAGCAGTGAAAGGCAGAGAGACACGATCATTGTCAGCCCCACGATATAAAAGACCTCCCCCTTCACGACTGAGAACTCATCCACCCCAATCATGCAGCTCAAGCTCCTCGCGTTCGTCACCGCCCTCTTCTCCGCCGCCGCCGCCCAAACAGACTCGGACTGCGTTCGTGCTCTTCTCGGGCGTTCCATGGGATTCGTGTCCTGATCTTTGTTGCCGACAGCTTACCATCCTGGACGGCTCCGTCTGCCCGGTCGGCTTCCAGGTCTGTATCCCTGTCTCGACCGGTTCGACCCGGTGCTGCCCGGTTAGCCCATTGCTTTCATTTGAGAGGGTGGCGTAGTGCTGATACTATGGGGCTGCCGCAGCTCGAGACCGTTTGCGCAGCGTAACATGCAGTGAAAAGGGTTCAGAACCCTTCTCTGTTACAGAGTAGGGGACCCCATCTCACAGCGGGAGTGTGGATGAATTATTACATGTACATGCGCAATCACTGATCACATGTCGAATACGATCTCTTCAACTACTGCCGCAGAATCAAGACCCGGCATGTCCTCGTCCTCCCCAAAGTCCTCAAGTTCCAAGAATTCTGTGTCATCGCGTCACAGGGCGGCGGGCCAATAGTACTCTTGTCGAGACGGGTATGGGCCAATCACGGACGCGCCACTACGTGGAATCTGGCCCCAACTTTATTTCCATGTCCGTGATTCACGTCCAAGCATCTGTGTGCGACATGGCGTAAGGCCCGGCCACCGCCTTTGCAAGACACAAATGAGGACATGGAACATCAGTCTTGACTAGTATATCGGTTTAGTACACGCGCTTGTCATATGCCGGGCAAAGAGTCGTCGCGCGAAAGCTGGGTTCGACTCCCAGGTCGAGAGTTAAATTTTGTATTTCATATTTTTTGCCTTGCACTTTTCATTCACAATTTGTATGGCAAATCAAATTGAAACAGCCGTAATGATGCTGTAGAACACAGACAAACCGTCAGAAATTTGACTTGTTTTGACAAGCCTGCTCGCCTAAACACACGTGACCCCGCAAAGTAACGACGCACTGGTTATCCTGCGTCTATAACTACCTATCCCAGACAGTCTAGGAGACTGCACCGTGATTGGAGTGTGTATTCTGTCATCGTTGCAGTCGGCCCGGGGGCGGCCGCTGATTTATTCTCATATCGGGCTATCTTTCGGTGCGCCTTTTAGCAGCCCACTGGCAGATATGTCTCAGATCTCGGGCCGCGATTGTTGCCTTAATTTGATCCAATCCGGGCAGATACCGGGCTGCCGGATATGAGAATAATCGAGGCCTAAATCAAGGTCCCATTTTTGTCCTTATTTATTTCACAAACAGCCAATCTTATCGCAGCCCGGTTATCTTTCCTATCAGCACGCCCGATCTAACCCTTTTTGTGTGACATATCAGGATAATTTTTGGGCAACTTTATATCTAATGGATCTGGTCAAATAAAAAAGTCCTTGTTTAGTAGCTATGATATAACAACTATAAATGATTCAAATGACCGCCTGTTACGGCGCATTCGCCAGAGTGCGTGGCAGTCCGGCTTTCCATAGATAACATAAGTATTCGCACGTCGCTGTTTCATTTTGGGGGGCATGCACTGCACCAACACATCTCCCAACAACGATTTCTTTTGCCATAACCCTTCTCTGTCATGCTCGAAACACCCAGACAATTCCCACCACACTAGGTGAGTCATAACATACATTATATATAATTACAATAGGGTTCAGTGCAACCCAACACTCAACGGAAGTGCTGGCGAGCGGCCGATGCGAGGCTGCCAGCGTCGCGGGCCGGAATAGCTCACCCACGTAATAGTAGAGGCGCCGCCGTCGACGACAGGACCCCTTCAAGGGGTATATAACTCAATGTATTAATTACCCTCGAAGGTCGATTTGTAAGCAAAACGTCCGCGGACTAGAACTCATGTGCAAGAGATCTGTTTAGCTCTCAATATGGTCTGGGCACAATGAGTTCTGACACCATGACAGATATCATTCAGCCGCCGAAACGAGACCAGATTGATTTCAGTAAGATCACTTCAACATAATTAACCGGGTTCGCACTGAAGTCATGACAGGTTGGAACTTGGTGGTGTAGCGGTTGATCTCCCCGTTGTACTTACTCTATTTGCTTGATTGTTGGCTTTGTGGTCCGATGCTCCCGATTCAGTATTATATCCGGCGTTCTCTACAGTCTTGATCAATCCGGTAGCGTCGACTGGTTCACGAGTCTAAGCGAAACGGCACAAAAGGATCATCTGGCTTGGGATCACGTTGATTTAGAAAGGGGAGTCCGTTTTAGTGCCCGCGAGTATGGGAAGCAAAACCAGGACTCCGAGTCCTGATCCTGAATTATTCAGGAGGGCTTCGCAGTAGGGCTTGGTTTATATTAAAAATTGGGAATATCATACCGGTTTTATAAAAAAAAGTTGGGGGGAGGGTGTTTATAAACCGGTTTTTAGGTTTATAAACCGCCTTGCCCGACATGCCCGAGCTGGTCACGGAAGTCATTTTTGGCACAAATTTGGGATGTAGAGTGCGCAAGAGCTGACAAATGTATTAATGACTAATATTGAGTGCCTCAGGGTATGTAGCAGGGGCAGTCAAGGGCATTACAGTTGCATTTCGTTCAATTCATTTGGTCATGCATCACAGGGGCCTCTGAAAGACTTTGGGAACACCGCCAATATTTTTTCCTCAATTTTTCGGATTTTCAATGTAATATTTTTGTGCAAAGTCCACAGTATGTCACGTGGATTTCCTTTTGGGGCACAGAATATAAAACATAGTTGATTACAATCCGCCTCCGCCGGCCTTCCAAATTGGGAAAGCGGTGCTGGGAAAGCGGTGCTCGGCGAGGTTTCGGCAAGGCAACACCGGCCGTGATGTGCCGAACGAGGGGCTCTGAAAGCGCTAAGGCGATACAAAGCTACTACACATGCTAGGTACAAAAGCTACACACTGGATATAAAGCTACAGGATTATAGGATGATTATTATTTGTACTCGGGCGGTACGTAAAAAAGGAATTGAGGCCCATGAGCACGACAAGGTAAATGTGTGGCGTTTAGGCTGTCCACCGCGTGCGTGCACGCATCGGCCGCGCCCTGTCCGCCACGTACGTGTGCCTTGGCCGTGCGCTGTCCATGTGCGCGCTGTCCGCCGTGCACTATCCACCGCGCTTGGCCGCGCCCTGTCCGTGTGCGCTGTCCGTCCTGTCCACCATGCGCATCGGCCTGTGCGCCCGCTCCCGTACGCGCCGCCCCGGCCCTGCATGCCGCGTGCACAACTCGTGCACGCGCGCCCTGGCCGTGCGCTATCCGCCGCGCCCTGTCCACCGTGCGCATGCGTCTGTCTGTGCGCCCGCTCCCGCACGCGCCGCCCTACCCGCTCACGCACACCCCCACTCCTGCACGCGCCGCTGCGCCCGGTCGCCGTGCACGCCCCCATCCCCGCACGCGCTCGGGCTCGCTGCGCCCACCGCACCCGCTCGTCGTGTACGCCCCCATTCCCGTGCCTGCGCCGCTCCCGTACGTGCGGGGCGGGCGCAGCGAGCGCGCGCGGGAGCGGGCGTGGGCACGCCGAGCTCAGGCGCGGCGCGTGCGGGAGCGGGTGCGGCGAGCGGGCGTGCACGGAGCGGGCGGGGCGGCTGTCCGCCGTGCACGTGGGCCGCACGCTGTCCGCCGTGTGCGTGCACACGTTATCCACTGTACCTGTCGGGCCGTGTGTTTGCGCGAGGGACGAGCAGCGCAGGCGGACGCCACATACGTGCGCGTGCTGTCTGCCCTACGCACCTGTGCACGCTGTCCGCCGCTGCGCCAGACAGGCCCACGCGCGCGGATGCCCATGTCCGCCGTGCGCGTGATAAGTGCGCGTGCTGTTCGCCGCCTGCATGTGCGCGTTGCGGGTGCACCGTTTGACCATTATGGCCGTAATAAATTAGTGTACTGCATTAAATTGTGGTAAGTGAGATGGATTTGGAGTGCTGAGAACGCACCTAAAAACTAATCTGCATCATGGCACTTCCGTGCAACGTGGCAGCTCAAATGACGGTGGAAGCGGTGTGAGAGAGGGTGGGCACGGCACTTGAGTTGGGCGGGGGGGTGAAGGCCATTGGGGACGACACCGATATCCCAGACCTTGTATCTGTGGCCATGGGCCTCGTTAAAACACTAGAAAAAGAGTTTAGCGTTGGGCGAGGTGAAAAAAATGTGTCGACAACGCACTGCGGTATACCTCTTGCCGTGGTTCGCGCCTTGCGGGGGCCAGGAAGGACGCGGGTGCAGGCGGGTTCGGGGCAGGAAGCGCGCAGGGCGTTGACGTCCATCGTATGGTGGTTTTGGAAGAGAGGCATTGCAGAGGAGGGTAGCGCAGGAGGGGCGCCGCGGTCGGTGGAAGGAGGAAGAGGGAGGGATGCTTGGCGCGCGGGTGCTTGTTTGGCCTCAGCTCGGCTTCGGTTTCAAGCTCCGCAAGGAAGCCGTCGGCAGGGGGCGGTGCTCTTCCCAAAAAGGATCAGGGGCGGAGGCGGTTTGTCATGAGTGATAAAACATATAAAACCAGGGGATCCCAGGAGGGGTGTTTATAACCGGTTTACAAACCGGGCTATATAAACCAAGCCCTACATCAGACTTTTGACGGCTATCTTGTGACCTTGTACAAGGTCAAAAAAGGACAAAAAAGGGCCAAAAAGGTCGCAAGCTCGCAAGGACACAAGGCAAGTGCCTATTTTCACAAGGTCAAAATTTTCCCAAAAAAAAATAATTGAGGGGTCATCTTGGCATCATTTCCTAATTTCAGGGGGGGTGTTTTTTGGCTTGTGACCTTTTTTGTACGGAAAGCCTGACACTCAAGCTTGTCAATCAAGTGATGGATTTGATTTCCGGTGCTAAGACCCCAAATACTAGTACGAAATATCGCTTATTGTGGGAAGCGACATCACGCCGCTCTGCGGCCATCACAAGGCCACGATCACCGCACATCCTCGGCTGCCTGTCCCGTCGTTTGCCGCCTGTGTCGCCCGCCGCCTGTACCGTCGCCCGCCGCCTGTCGCGCCCACCACCTGTTGCTTCAAGTTAAAGTTTTTAACACAAGTTAACCAATAACAGTTACTAACTGGCACTGTGTTACTAAGATCCCGCTTATCAATAGGGGAGTTCACGACGGGCCGATTAAATGTTCTTTTGTGAATATAATAATCTTTTGATGGGACGAATAAAACATACTTTTGTAGAATAAAACCGTGATCACCCCACAAGCACACATTATTTCGGTGCATATCTATAACTACTGCCCTTGATTTGACAGCCTCGGTGGGCCATAAGTCAACCAAGACATTCCCGAAGGTGCGCAGGGTGTGCTGCAAGGCATCTGCGAAGGCATCCTTCTTGCACCAAAAACAAATAAATAAAGTTGGGGAGGAGAGCGAGGAGAGCGTAAAACACACTGCGAAGGATACGGCCCTCGACAAGGTGCCAGACTCAACAAGGTCTGGCACCTTGATATGGGACAGCCTGAGGACAACAGGTGTGGTGCGGAGTACTTTTTTCATTGCTTACATACATGACAAAATTTACAAAATATGATTTATTCCACGAAACCCATTTATTCGGCTTTGTGGAATTTCTTTCTTTTGTGAAAATAATAGTCCCATCAAAAGATTATTTTATTCACAAAAGAATGTTTATTAGGCCTGTCGTGAACTCCCCTAATAATGTTGATAACCTGTTATTTACACAGGTTAAATACCAAATGCTAACGCAGTTCGAAGATCCTTCCAGTTACTAAACTTCACTGACTGTTGTTCTCTTCGGAGGAGGGCCCTAGTACTGTGCTAAAAACTTGGATGTTATTATCAAA